TTCTTAATAAGGATGCCTAGTCTGGTATGGGTTAAATATGAGCACAATTACCGAAATCTTGTAAAAAAAACACCTAAATAATGAGGGAGGAAACTATGTATTTGTGAATTTAGTGGTATCAGGTTTCTTGTTAGTTAGCACTCTTTTAGTGAGTTTTATTTAACGGCTTGTTCTTTTATCCAAAACACTATGGTTCTCAACAAGTACGTAAGTTATTCTATCCTCTATATACCACTGAATTGAAAAGAATAGTACTATACACTATGATATGATCCCAAATCAACCCTTACCCTCAAACCAATTGCTTGTAAAAGAATCAACCCATGTTGGAAGGAAGAAGGGTCGAATTTGGCTAACTGTTTGGAATGTACCATGGTGCTTACTTTACAGGTTTATATCTTACATCCTGGTTGATGGAAATACAAGGGAAGGGTTGGATTTGAGTTTAAGTGTTATTCTACATGATTGAAGACCTGGTTAAGCCGGAACGAGCCATTGAAGCCACTTTCTCGATGCCTCAAATGCTATGTTGAAACTGGAAATCTGCCTAATTTTGGCAAGGTCTGCAATCAGTTTGAGTTGCCACCTTTGTAAGCTTATTCAAAGCAGATGGAGCATTGTCGATGGAAGAAGGGAGCTGGAACTTGAAGTTTGAGACCTGGAGAAGAAACCATTGAAGCCTGTTTGGATCAAATTTCTCTAGAAGGCTTCGAACAGTAGCTTCAAAGTGGCTAGAAAGACTGGAATGGATTGCTTGCGATGGAAGGAAAAATCTTGGGGTTGAAGAAACAGAGTTTTATTTTCTTTTTTAGTTTGGATTTCTCTTTCCTTGTTAGAGTAGAGTTAGATTTGATTCCTTGTTTGTTTAGAAGTCGAATTAGGTTGTTCTTTGTCTATTTAAAGGCTTGGAAGCCTCGTGTAAGAAGACAGTTTTTAGTTGAATGAAAATTGTGACTTGTCACCCAATCCTTGCGTTGTTGGTTAAGTTCCAGCTTCGTGATTGCTTCGTATCGATTGAAATCGCATCAATAATGGCCGAGCTTCGATCAAAACCAATTGAGCCTCTTCTCAAGTGAGAAGTTGCACCTTTGGTCCGTTTTTCGTTTTAAGTTTGGTCAATTTGGTTTGAGCTATGTACCTTGGTTCAAATAAGCACAAATGGGCTCCTATTAAGTGTCATTGGAGCCTTGGTTCTACACAGTGGCTAGGAAAACGAAGGACGTACCTTTGCCCGGTTGCTGCGTGAACGAGGAAAAAGGATCCAATGGACCTTCGAAAGCCAAAGGAAACGGAGTCGGAGTTTGAATCCGACGAGGACAATTAGGAGGGCGAAACTGCGATGCCATGCCAGTTTAATGCGACTGAGTTCTTGCTGACCATCACGATGCAGATTGGAACACTTTTTTAGGTTAAAGAGGCCACTGTTGCGCGATCTCTTCATGAGCTCACTCGTGAAATTCGAAACTAAATCAAGCTCAGGTCGTTTGTCGAATTAGAAAAAGCAATACACGTACCATTAAGAACAAAAAATAGCAGAAGGCTTTGGGGGGCAGAAGATTTTTGAATCCCAAGCTGGGAACAGAGAGTGTGGCCGAGGTGAGCAAGTCAGAATTAGTGAAGCCTGCTCCGAGAAACTCAACGTCAGCACAGCAGGAGCGCGTGGTAACTTCCAGTGGCATAATCCAGTGCTTCAAGTGTCACGGGCGAGGCCACAAGGCCAATCAATGTCCTAATCTTAAGCTTTTGATACTAGATGACGAAATCATTGGTCCTGTCGTGCACAACGACTCGTTGGAAGTGGAAGCAGATGAAGAGATTGAAGCGATGCCTGCACCTTTTCTTTCGGAAATGAATTTGCGTGCTTTGACAATGGAAGGCGAGACGAGTGATGACCAGCAAACTAAACTGTTTCACACGAGATGCCTCGTCAACGGCTAGTGTTTATCGGTGGTCGTTGACTGAGGCAGCTACACAAATGTAATCAGCATTGACGCTGTCAAGAAATTAAGTCTGGAAACCATTAAGCACCCTGAGCCATACAGCCTATATTGGATCAATGATTATGGCGCAATTAAGGTTACACAAAGAGCTCGAGTCAATTTTGAAATTGGCTCGTACGAGGCCGAGCTCTTGTGCGACGTTGCGCCGATGCAAGCCGCCTACCTACTGCTTGAAATACCTTGGCAATACAACCGAGCTGTCACACATGACGTTGGTTCCAATTGATACCGATTTAAGCACAATGGCAAGCGCGTATTATTCAAACCATTGTCACTGTCGGAGATCTGGTCCGATTCACAATAGATGGCCTCAATACGAGCTCAAGAAGTAAGAGAAAATGGTGGCACAATGCAGAGGACAGCCTTGGTGCGTCAAGGATTCATGTTAACTGCTTTGCTGAGGCCTATGAATTCTCGACCGATCAAAACTTAAACCAGTCTGTCTTCCATCGCCGACAGGGCTGGGCGAAGAAAGAGAGTCGTTTGGGTGGCGAGCTGGGGAACGATCCGAATCAATCCGACCACGCCAATATGATTGTTTCCCTCCTAGGAATGTATAGGAGCAGTCAAATTGGGACGAGGAATATTGAATTGGAAACACCCAATTCGACCATTTGGGACCGAAATATGCATAGTGTCGACCGAAAGAACCCCGAATGGGTTCTTGAGATTGGTGTAAAAACTATGCGATTGGACACTTGGGTTCACTTTCTGGAGCCCCAAGGATGATGTAGAAGCAAAGAAATCAATTCGAGAATGTCTGAGACACTTTTCCGCAATTTTATTTTGAGTCGCCAGATTCTGGGTTCACTTCGCCGAATTCTGAAAAATTCAAATTTTCCGACAGTGGAAAACTTACAAACTACGAATTTGGGGCGACCACGTGGTTCCAGGCGCTAGGATGGAATGGAGGACATTCTTGGAGGTATGGCGAACGTGAATCGCGAGAGCAATTGCCGAGGAACAACAAGATTTGAAAAATTGGCGATTTGAGGAGCTCGCTGGAGTTCGATTTTGCAATCACAGGGCATTGTTTTAGCGATCCAGTTTGGGTGGAATTTAACTGTGCTTTCGAATGCAGGATTGCACTAGCTTTTAGGGCAAAGCTTTTTTAAGAAGGGGGCCTGATATGATCCAAATCAACCCTTACCCTCAAATCCATTGCCTGTCAAAGAATCAACCCATGTTGAAAGGAAGAAGGGTCGAATTTGCTAAGTGTTCGCTCTGTTTCATGGTGCTTACTTTACTAGTTTATATCTTACATCCTGTTTGATGGTAATACAAGGGAACGGTTAGGATTTGAGTTTAAGTGTTTTTCTACAGGATTGAAGTCCTGGTTGAGCCAGAACGAGCCATTGAAGCCACTTTCTCGATGCCTCAAATGCTATGTTGAAACAGCAAATCTGCCTGATTTTTGCTAAGTCTAGAATTAGTTTGAGTTGCCACCTTTGGAAGCTTATTCGAAGCAGATGGAGCATTGTCGATGGAAGAAGGGAGCTGGAACTTGAAGTTTGAGACCTGTAGAAGAAACGACGGAAGCCTATTTGGATCGAATCTCTCTGCAAGGCCTCGAACAGGAGCCTCAAAGTGGCTAGAAAGGCTGGAATGGGTTGCTTGCGCAGGAAGCCAGAATCTTGAGTTTGAAGCTACCGAGTTTTATTTCCTTTTTGAGTTTGGATTTCTGTTTCCTTGTTAGAGTAGAGTTATATTTGATTCCTTGTTTGTTTAGAAGTCAAATTAGGTTGTTCTTTGTCTATTTAAAGGCTTGGAAGCCTCGTGTAAGAAGGCAATTTTAGTTGAATGAAAATTGTGACTTGTTACCCAAACCTTGCGTTGTTGGTTGAGTTCGAGCTTTGTGATTGCTTCGTATCAATTGAAATCGCATTAATCGTGGCCGAGCTTCGATCAAAACTAATCGAGTCTCTTCCCAAATGAGAAGTTGCACCTTTGGTCCGTTTTTCGCATTAAATTTGTTCAATTTAGTTCGAGCTGCGTACTTTGATTTGAAGAAGCACAACTGTTCGTATTTCTTTTGTATGAGCATCTCTACAGAATAAATCATAGATCATATAATGGATGGAAAAAGATTCGATATGGGAGAAGGGAGATAGATGGAGAGTAGTGATGTTGATAGTAGTATAGTGTTACTCCCACACACACAAACATTTGGGCAAGTAGACGAATAAATTCAGCACCACATAAATTTAAAAGGAGAGGAAGTGAAAAAAGGGGAGGGGAATGCAATGCTTTCCTTATCTAAAAACAATGCATAAAGGAGAGCCGAATCAGTACACCTAATTCCTTCCGCACCAGAGAAGGTAACAAAAGAAATGGACACCCTAAAAGTTCAAACAAATATTCTTGAAAAAATAATGTTCTAAGTGACTTTCTTGCTTTATTTCTTTATTCTTTTTATGCTAAAGTAACTCAATTGCTCATGATTGTTTTATTTTTTTCCGATTAGCTTAATTCTTCAACTTCCAAAATTTTCTGCTATTTCTTCTTTGCATGCACGTGGAGCAATGCAATACACGCTAGGGACTTGGCATAAACATCTTGAATATAGCTTGTCCATTGTTTTGTCTTTTTTCGTTTTGTATTTTTTTTTTTTTTGGTCTGCTTTTGCTTCTCAAATGAAACAGTACGTGCGGTCGATCTGTTGAACTTTAAGGAACTAATTCGGGTACATTTAAACATAAAATATTTCATTAATTAAGATGTAGGAACCCGGTAAGTAAATAATACAAGCTAATTAATCATTGATTAGCGGTAGAAATTATCTTTGTCGACAAACATAATCAGCAGCCACATTTGTAGGATCATATATTAGGACTAGGAAAGAGCAAAGCTCTAGACTACTAGAAACTACGTACGTATACCAACAACGTTGTCGACAAGGCTAAGTAAGTAAATCCTTATTTCGATAAAGCAGAAACTAATTAAGTCGGAATCCCTCCCCTAATTAGCTAGTAAATGATGATGAAAATGGAATAGATGATATTAAGACAAAGAGTGGTAAGGCTTGAGCATGTGGAGGAGTTGGCCACTGAGGTGTGCGGACATGATGTCGTTGGTGGAGCCCATGAACTTGCCGCCGATGAAGACAGCGGGGACTGGGCCGGCGGTGGTGCCGGCGAGCTTCATGAGGGCTTTCTCCATCTCCCGGCCTTGTGGGTCCTGGTCGATATCGTACATCACTGGCTTCACCCCGATCCCTTGGAACAACATGCTCACCGCATAGCACATGCAACAAGAGCTCTTGCTGAAGATCACCACCCCATTATCGGATGCCAAACCCATCACCTTCTCCATCGACTTCTTCTTCTTCTTCTTCTTATGCGCGCGGCAAGCTAGCTACGAGTGGAGGAATTCTCTGAGGGAGGGGGGCTAACTGATCTTCTTCCTATATTTTTGTCTATTTTTTTTAGTGTTTCTGAGATGTGTTTGTGGTTTGAACTTTCAGAGTCTCCGTGTGGATGACTATTTATAAGGATCCGGGAGAAGGGTATATAGAGAAGAGAGAACATTCAAAAGGAGGAGGGGAGAGATTTGAGTGAGGGAGATGCCCAAATTTGTAAAAAAGTGACAAGTGACTAACGTGCTTCCATGGACCGAACAACTTGGCCCTAGCAAAACCAAGACTGCAAACATATGATATAATGGCACTGGGTATGCATGGCCATAGACATAGTACTCCCATCTTATATATGTTAGGAGGCTTCTCTGGTTAGTATATATATAGCTACAAGATCAATGGATCGTGCTATAAATTGCCCCATTATTAACTACTAACATTGATTCTCACAAATCATAACTTTTACCTTGTATGTGAAATGTAATGTAGTTATCATCATACATATCGTAGTTGTGACAAACTGACAATAGTTAGTAAATACTACGTTTAATATGCGTATATGTACCTGTATTTATTAGTTTAAAATTTCCGTACGTATTCGTATTATTGTCAAGACATTTCATTTTTAATTTCCGTTCGTTTGATGACTCTCGTATTAAACACGTATAAACCCGTATAGCGCGTTTAATATTCGTACTAATGAATTAAATTGTTAACTTTACTATTATTTATATATTTGTGACTAGTAAAGTACTATTAAATAGAACATTAGTTTAGAGACAAAATAAAATACTCGTAAATATTTTATATGTAACTTTCCCGTACCGTATTTTACTGACTATGGTTGTGACTACCTTGCCAACAGGTACTCATGTCACATGATCATATATAGCTAGAAAATATGTTGTAGTTATCATCATATATAGCTAGAAAATATTTACAAACTTATTGAGTAATCATTTGGATTGCTTCAGTTAAATGCTGCACTAGATCTTAATCGTTCTTTTTGGAATTTTGATGAAGAAAATATTTATGAACTTGCTAAAGAGTTTAGCCTCGAGACTTTAAAGCTTATGAGATGCATTCTCTAGAGAACGAGATATTATGCCACTCATGTGAGAAAAATGAAGTTTCTTCCCTTGCCATAATTAATAGAGAAACTGGCGGAAACAATGATGGACACACAATACAAATTGATTTTTCGGTTGATCCGTCTAGTGTTGACTTTCCCTTTTTCAACGACTACTAAGGAGATAACATTTTCAGCAATGGTACATGTGAAAATTGATTTGCGCAACATAATGAACGATAAATTTGTCGTTGATTGCTTAGTCATTTTCTTCGAGAGAGTATGCTATATATTGGCATGGATGGAGATTCTATTATTGATGAATTTGCTAAACAAAAAGATCTTCTTGTACAATTGGTAGTTATTGGATATTTTTTTATAGTATCTAATTTCTATTCAAGTGCGACACAATGCTCTACTATGTTCTGGATCCGCCGCTGCTTTTAATTCTTCTGGTCAGATTACTCTTTTTGGACATATATGCCTGAACTCTATGATGTGCATAGTCCCATAGTATACGTGCCAGATATGAAATTTTAGAAAGAAAGGCAGGAAAGGAATATAAGAGATACTGATCATGGGCTGAGACTGGGGTACTAACTAATTGATAAAAGGCAGAGCAAGCAGCAGTCAAATATTTCACAATGGATTCCCAAAATCAAATTCCTTTCCAAGTGCTTTGAAGGAGATCGATAGATAGATAGATGGCTTTCGGTGGGCTGCATGGATTCCTTCCAGTGCAATATATTGCATGCGCCCACCAAGTTGCCTGCATGGATTCCGTTCAACCAGTGTCCAGTATCTATTTGATGACCAGCCTCGCGAATCTCCTTCCAATCCGCAAGTGTGTGCTAAAACCAATACTGTTACGACTATGTCTATACAAACGCGCGCCTGCTTTTAATAATGGTTTCTGTACTTCCATGTCCATTGTGATGTAGTGAAATTCGCATCCTCGTACAACCAGCGATGACGGATTCAGGATAAGGTAGAGCATTGGGTCACATTTGAAAAGAGGTAGAGAGTACAGGACTGTAATCCAACGAGAACATAAACGAATATCTAAAATCGGAAATTTACAAGAGGTATACTAGTTCCAGATCCGAGGAGGGTTGGACCGTGGCCCGAGGACGATCCCCTAGATGCGCAGCTGTGTACAACAGTTTTCTTTCTGCAGCCTCGTGTTGTCTTTCCATACAATTTATATCGGATTACGTTCACCATGAGCTTACCAAGTCGACCCGACATTCTCCTTGTTGGCTAAATTTCTACAATGATGTTGTTTGATAAAACATAACAAAGTTGATATATATCGCTATATGGATCTTAATTAATAAATGCGATCTTAATTTCTATACAAATTGTTCTTAATCTTGAGTTGAAATGAAGAAGATAGGTCATCATATCACTGTCATAATACTATAACTGGTACATATTTTGAAGATGCCATTTTTTCTTTGGTCAAAATATATCAAAATGAATATTAATGTCTGGATCAATTTTTTTTATAAGAGTGATATTGGTTTACTTTTTTGTGATTAAGATACTATTGCAGGGATTCGAACGTGGGAGCTCCAAGTTCTAGACTTGGGGTTTTACAACTATGTCAAGCCCTTGTTCGTATAATTAATACATTCTTTCTAGCCAAAATATTTGAATTTCAAGTTAAAGAAGTTCTGTAGGATCCGATTAAGAAAAATTGAAAATTAGGAATAATATCTTCTCTATCCTCAGGATCTGTGTCAGGCTGTCAGGAAAAAAAACAACGGGTGGCAGATTTACCAATCTGTTCCCCTTCTTTTTCTTCGAATTAATCAGCGCCATTAGATGGGAATGGGATGAAGGGTAGATAATTGGATTTTGTAGTGGTTTTGAATACCCTATCCCTTCCCATTTTTTTTATTTACATGACGAGATTATGACCACATTCCTATAAAATAGGAGAAGAATTTCGTCAAAGGTAGTTTAATTTGGTATATGTGGAAGGCTGAAATTTGAAATAATAAGTATTAAACAAATGAATATTTTTAAGGAAAGGTTAGTGTTTCAGCCAAGAAACAAGGGGGGCACCGAACCTGTGAAAGTGCGGGGTTGGCCCCGATTATCTACACTCCGACGATCAACATTAGTGAACTTGTAAGGGAATAGGAAGAGCAAAGATAGAGAGAGATTGTATAGAGAGATAAGTGATATATCCCAAAATGAGAAGGAGAGGAGAGACCCCTTACTTGGAGTGCTTAGTAGTGTATTTATAGGCTAAGCTTGCCTTCTTCAGGTGGGCTTTAGTTGTAGGATCATGAAGACACTTTGTGGGTTTGGGCCCATACATACTTTATGGATTGTAGTTGTGGTTTGGGCTGGGCTAAGCCATGTTTAATGGCCCAACAATTGTCCCCCAGTTAGGTATCCAGTAGCGTACTGGATGGCTAACTAGAAGTCTTTGCCTTGCAAGCTTTACTATGAACTTAGAGTTGAACGCTTGATCGTTTAAGCGCCATCTTGTCTTCTGACTTAGCTGACTCATGTCCCCCAACATCATGTTTGTCGAACAATCTCGAAATACGAACTTTGCAGAGAATCGACAATAAAACATGATGTGACTCATAACATAGTTAACGATATAACTCAAGCAATGAGATAAAACTATTTATTGCACATATGATGCCTAACAAGGCTATGACATTTTTCGGCACATAATTAAAGATTTGTTTGCCTTAGAAAAAATCCCGAATGCGCATGCACATGTTACCCCCAACTGTCCCCCAGTTAGGCGCCCAGTGGTACACTGGACGACTAACTAAAGTCCTCACACTAGTCAAATTTCATGTAAGATCCTTTAGTGTTTTGTCCCCCAGTTCATGTCTCCCATTACCGCATTAGTTACACAAAGAAAGGATCACTAATATTCTAAATGATGCAACATAGTTTCATTCATACAATAACTAAGAATACAACTTGAGTAGAGATAGAAAAGACTTAGCTTATTTCTTGAGACTTCTCTTTAGTGGTTAGAATTGGAGCGTTTGAATAGTAAGTCTTTGGCGCTCGAATAAGCCAATCATTGTGAATCTTAATTCCACTGTCGAGTTGGTCTGACAACACTAGCAGTCCTTTCATAAAATCATATCACAAAGCCATATGGTCTTGCAGTCGATGTTTCAATCCCACCTATCTCATTTTTGACAATAAAGGAGAGCCGTGAGTCGTTTGTGACTAGGCGCCTACACTCCATATCCAATTTCTTTGAGTGCTTAGATGATGGAAGTTTCTTTACTCATGATTTTTGAATCAATCACCTAAAATTTAGAGACATGCACCTTGACTCTACAACTGCTCCGCTCTAGGCGCTACAAGTACCTATACCAAGTTTTTCAACACCTATGATTCCACAAATACCACGTGTCTCAGGGGCTTCATGGTATTATTGGTGCCAATCTTAGGGCGCCTTGTGGTGCATTGGACTGATTAACTAATAATTATTTGAATTGCCAAATTTAAACTAAGATCTTTTGGTATTTTGCTCACAAGTTCACGCGCCTCCATAACATCTTAATTAAATAACGAAAGGGTCATAAAGATGTTAAGTAGTAGAGTAGAATTTGACTCACGCATTGATTATGAAGATAACTCGAGTAGTGATAGAAAATACTTAGCTTATCTCCCAAAGTGCTCCCTTGTAGCCAGCCTTGTCGTTGTTTTTTCCTTTCCAGCTCCACATAGTTGGGCGCCTTCAGTGGGCATGATATTTTCCCCTAAAGCACTTTCAATAAATGACGCAAAATTTGGACGGAGAGTATATACCACAAAAGGCGCTAGATTTGGGCGCGAATAGTATTATCAACCAAGCGCGCAAAATGTGGGCGCGGAGAGTATTTCGAGCCAGAGGCGCTAGATTTGGGCGCGGAGAGTTCTACCAACCAAGGGCGCTTAATGCGGGCGCGGAGGGTATTTCCAACCAAGGGCGCTATATATGGGCGCAAAAAGTATTTCCATTTTTTTTATGGAAACCTGAAAGTATTTCCATTGGAACGCACTAAATTTGTGCACTTCAGCTTTTTTTTTTAAAACAAAAGAATATTTCATGGAAGTAAAATCACATCTCACAAGAAACTTAGTACTTAGCTTAGTTCCAAGTGTGCTGAAGCCACGATCAGGTCAATAAGAGGCGCCCGCTGAAACTAGAAAAGCAGAGCGTTCTAGCAAAGTGGTTGAATTGCTTGTCTTGATTCGAAAGGTTCTTGGTTCGATTCTTGAATCAAGGAGCTTTATTTTTAGTTTGTGAGCTGGGCGCCTAAGCCCACCATGGACGGTCTTACTCCGAGCTCCAACGTAAGTGGGCGCCTTGGGCCTCATGTAGACCAGGCCCGACGGCGCAAACCTTGTGGCCCGATTCAAAATTTCCAACAGGCGCCACATGTAGACCAGGCCCGACGGCGCAAACCTTGTGGCCCGAAGCAAAATTTCCAACTATGGTGAGCCTAATGATAAGACTGTGCGTCTTGTGAGCCTCGTTTGGAAAAAACTTCTCGTATTGGGCCTGAGTTGGGGAGGATTGAGCCGCAGGCGACTCCACCCACGCTCCCAACTTTCGGGCTCCCCTTACGCTCCCAATTCCCATGAGTTTAACCTCTTTTTTTTATTTCTTCTCTCTTCTTCCTTTCCTTTATGCGCTTATTCTTCTTTCTACGGCGCAATCCATTCTCCTTCTCTGACGAGAAACGATCGGCGCCTTACGCCGCATCACAAAATCATGCACCTCTTGAACTGTTGCAAGAATTCATCCACCGAGCGCCTTTTGCAGTATTCGAGTCTGACGCCCATATCACCTCTTTCTTCCCATTTTGAGGCGCCCTTCTTAAGGGTCTTAGTCTTACCCCCTTTGCCATCGCTTCCTCTGAACTTCCTCCTTCGCGTCAGAGCGAACTCCCCGAACTTGTGGCCCACCTTGGCCTCGGTGATCTTGCAACGAACGAACGAATTCCCATTGTAAATCCTGACGGTGGAGTTCAAAAACTCCGCCAATATGACCGACCTCCTAGACCATATCTTCCTGTTGTTGAGTGGCGCGCCCTTGTTCTTCAATTTCAACAGGAAAGCATCCACGAATGGACCCTTCCACATTGCCCTCGCCACAGGTACCTCTTAAGTAGGCATCTGGTGCCTTATTACGCTTGCTTCCTCTTCATCCTCGTGGAGAAACTATAAGCGCCCATCATTCTGTTTTTACCTTACTCTTTTTTTTTTTTTACTGCCCATTACCCAGGCGTTGGGCGCTTTCTCCAATCTATCGCTAGCAACGACGGGTGCCTTTCTTGGCGCGACAACAGATTGGCACCAAAGATAGAGATGGGACTAAGGCAGCCATTAACATATCTTTTCTTATGGCGAGATCTCAAATTTGGTTGGGAAATCATTCCGCTCTCCATGATTGGGCTATTTCTCTCTTTTTTGGAAGAAATCATTTGCAGATCTAGGACTTAGAGAGAAGGATTGTCTCTCTCCCACTCCCCGCATACGCCCACAAAGAGGAAAACGGGATCCGAAACCTTTGCGAAGCAGTACATGAAAAAAGGCTCTGATCTATAGAGATGGCGGTTGGATCCTTTTTTAATGGTGTTGCGATGAGAAAGAGATGAAGACTAACAATAAGATGACTCGGTAAACGGGAGAGGAAATGAAGAGATGGAGTAAAAAGAAGACGCCCAATTACTCCCGAAAAACCCAAAATAGAAACCGTCTTGGCTGTTTGGATAAGACTAGGCTCAAGAACCATTTTTCTTTCTTCGATATCAAACATTCTCCCCTACCTGGCGCGCCAATTGTTTCAGCCAAGAAACAAGGGGGGCGCCGAACCTGTGAAAGTGCGGGGTTGGCCCCGATTATCTACACTCCGACGGTCAACATTAGTGAACTTGTAAGGGAATAGGAAGAGCAAAGATAGAGAGAGATTGTATAGAGAGATAAGTGATATATCCCAAAATGAGAAGGAGAGGAGAGACCCCTTACTTGGAGTGCTTAGTAGTGTATTTATAGGCTAAGCTTGCCTTCTTCAGGTGTGCTTTAGTTGTAGGATCATGAAGAAACTTTGTGGGTTTGGGCCCATACATACTTTATGGTAGTGATGGCAATTTCAACCCGCCCCGCGGGTATTACCCGACCTGACCCGCGATGGGGCGGGTATTACCCGACCCGCAGTAGGGTGGGGCGGGGCATGGGTATCTACTTCCGACCCGCCCTGCCCCGCCCCGCCCCGTTCTAGACTCATTTTATCTCAATTTCTTACAATATCTATACATATTTCTCCTATTTTGACTTTTCTTCAACTAGTTAGAGTCGATCTTTTAACTTGTTAGGCTCAATTATCCATTCTATTATCAATATTTTTCATTCTTAAAGTGTTTTTCCCTACGTTTATTGTAAAAAGTAAAATTTACTTGTATTTTTTTTGAACAACATGTAAGAGTGGGTCGACCCGCCACGCCCTGTACCCGCGCGGGTTTTACCCGCCCCGACCCGTAGTAGCGTGGGGCGGGGCATGGGAATTGAGGTACCCGCCCCGCCCCGCCCCATTGCCATCACTACTTTATGGATTGTAGTTGTGGTTTGGGCTGGGCTAAGCCATGTTTAATGGCCCAACAGTTAGGATACATACAAAACCATACCATTACCCATCTATCTAATTCACCATCTAATGGTCTAGATTAATTTGTAATAAAAAAATCTAGAGGGACGAAGTGGTATTCCGCATGCATGCGTTTTGTTCTGAAAGTTTGACACGAAAATTAGACGAGAAAGGAGAAACAGCTGACCCGTTAATGATTACTTTTTCTAATCCCTATTTTTCTTAATAAGCATTCATTCTAACTCGGAATTTTAATAATTTTGCATAGAAAGAACACATTAATTATGATCTACGCAATGATATCCATTTCGTTACATTTTGAGCAACGAAAAAAAATTAACTCTTCAAAACATATGTCTGTTATAGTATGATTAGTGTCATATATATCATACCATCATGATATGACAGTGATAGGATGACCAATTTCATTCATTTCAACTCAAAATAAAAATAAAAACTTTATAGTTTTGCCTAGTTTAGTTAGAATGCATGTTATTGTAGAGTGGAAGTCATAAATTGAGTCATAAATTATAGCATTATACTCACGGATTGCTTTATAATCATTATGAATAGGGTTTATACATTAAATGGGATGTTTAGGTGAAATAAGGTAATTAGGGCATAAGTGTAAGGTGTTGCTAAAAAAGCATAGATTACGACAACAGACGAAAGTTCATGAAAAGGATGCCCCATTCCTCTTCACGAAGGAATGCTTTGATGCTTTCAATATCCTTAAAGAGAAGCTCACCAATGCCCCCATAATGGTCTCACCGGATTGGAACCTTCCTTTCGAGCTCATATGCGATGCTAATGATTATGCAGTGGGAGCAGTTTTGGGCCAAAGGAGGGGTAGACACTTTCAACCTATTTGCTATGCCTTAAAGACACTGAATGATGCTCAGGAAAATTACACAACCACGGAGAAAGAGCTGCTAGCAGTAATCTTTGCTTTGGATAAATTCAGGTCTTATCTGGTTCTCTCCAAGGTTGTTGTCTACACAGACCACTCTGCCATCCGCTTCTTGATGAGCTAGGCGGATGCCAAGCCCCGGCTGATTCGATGGATCCTGTTGCTTCAAGAATTCGATGTGGAGATCAAGGACAAAAAGGGGGCCAAAAACCTTGCAGCTAACCACCTCTGACCACCTCTCGCGGCTCGAAGGACCGGGAAGTAGCACTCATCCGAGAGAGATAAATGACACTTTCCCCGATGAATGTCTACTCGCCCTCGCTGCTGCAGAGAGTGTCGCCCCATTGTTTGCCGACTTCGACAACTATCTGGTTGGAAAGCAGCTGCGCAAGGGAATGACTACACATGAGAGAAATAAGTTCTTCTCTGACCTCCGTGCTTACTTTTGGGATGACCCTCACTTTTTTCGAATTGGGGCCGAAGGGGTAATTCGAAGGTGTGTATTGGAGGAGGAGATGGAAGGTATTCTGAACCACTGTCATACGGGGCCAACTGGGGGTCACCATGGAGGCACCCTAACTGCAAGAAAGGTGCTCCAATCGGGATTCTACTGGCCGAGCCTTTTACGCGATGCCTACAAATTTTTGAGTCATTACGACTGTAACATCCCGTTTCGGATAAAATCGTATTACTGTCAGTAGAAAATTTCACAATTTAAAAGCGAGCATTTTGGCAATATTTTGACGAAAAATCAGATTATCGATCGATCAGATAAGTATACGGATTAATTATATATATATATATGGGGAGTTCTACGGTACCCAGGGTGAAATCCACGGTACCGCATACCCTGAGTATGAAAACGTTGTTTAGACCATGAATTGGCTGATCTTTCGGACATAATACTATACTCTAACTCTTAAAGATCAAAATCTAGGTCTTAGTTCTCTAAATCTAATACTCCAAGATCAATTTAATTAGAATAATAATCGATGGTTATGATTCGTCCAAATAAAGGCCAAAAATGAATGCACCATCTTAGAGTTTATAGTTTATAATTTATATAATTAGGAACTAGGGTTCACTCATTAAGGCTTAGGGTATAGCATCAGGTCCAAAAATCATAACAATTCGAGATCTAGATAACATTTTCATACTCAAGGTATGCGGTACCCGGGATTTCAACCGGGGTACCGTAGAAGGCACTATATACACCCGGGCGTACGTTAGGCTACCGTACGCCTGTTTGAGTTTTGCTATTTAGATCATGAATTAATCGGAGTTTTGGGTATGACACTATACCCTAACCACTGAGATTCGTTTAATCTTGAAATGAAAATCAACAATAATTTCGACGAATCAGAACCGTTGATTTTCATTTCAAGATTAAATGAATATTATGCTTTGGGTTAGTGAATTGCGGACTGGGGTTCACCCATTAGGGGTTATGATATAGTATCATGCCCCAAACTCCGGTTAATTTATTGTCTAAATAGAAAAACTCAACGGGCGTACGGTAGGCTAGGGTACGTCAGGGCGTACGCTAGCCTTTGCCATATATATATATATATATATATATATATATATATATATATATATAATATATTATATATAATTATATATAAAATCAAAGTGGCCGCCTATTAATTCATTCTTCTTTCATCCCCAGTACATTAATAACTTAAAGTGTTCCTTCTTTTCTTTTTCTGGGACGAGGGTATGAGAGCGAACAGAGGAGTTCAGGGAAGGGACGAGGAAAAGTCTCAGTGTTTGATTCTCCAGTTCTAGTGATCCAAAAATTCCGTAAGTAATGCCTAAATCATTTATACATCGTGATTTATCGATTTAGAGTTTTAAAACGTGTTTTTGGTTCAGGAATTTCTTGAATTCTCGATAAGTCAAATTAGGGGTTACGGAGTATCCGGAAGCCGGATTGAGCCCAAATTTCATATACAAGCTTCCTGCAGCGAGGTAATCAATCCTCTAGTTCTAATCAATGAATTTTGGCAATTATTTAGGTCGGGGTCCAAATCGCTGAATTTAGCTCCGGCCAGGGTTTGATTTGTTTTTATCGAAAATTTGACCCGGAGCCTAGAACTAACACTGACGGGGATACTGCATGGGATATTAGGACGGTCTCGGATTTTAATTCGGGGTTCGTTGGTGAAATTGACGTTTTAGTACGGGAAGCTTAAATCGGTGTTTGAACGACCAGAACTAGTGAGGGATTAGCACGGCATACCGGGTTTGTCGTATCACGATAATTATATTGATGCTTAGAACTGACCTAGGTGAACTAGAATGTCATGATTAGGGGTGTATGAACTTTTGTGATGTATGATGAACCTTGGACTGTTGTATGATATTATTGACTTGCCCTAATCGATATGGACCTTGTTTATGTTGATGATTGCATACATGTTGCCATATGTGGGTTTAATTGTGGATACACCTTATGATAGTTTGAGACGGTGATTGGGCATGATTTTTCATGATTATTGTATTTGGATGCACAAGTGGGAAAAGATATATCTCATGGTGATATTATGATGTTTAAGGAGGATGACTTGGACGAGGGTTTATCCCGAG